TTTATTTTAATATGTGCATTGGGTCTGGTTGTGACAAATTTTGGGGTAAGATTGTGACATGTATTTCTTGTCCTTTTGGATGAAGATTAAACAGATCATAAAATCTAACTTAACAAATATAAAATACGAAAGAGAATGGAAAAAATTCAATATAAGAAAAAAAAAATCTACAAAAAATTATTGTTAAATTTAATTATAAAAATATGTTTTGTTCTATATTGTTATATTTTATTCATAAGATTTATTAACTTCCCGTAGGGTAAGTTATAGTAATCGCAAAAAAATGGAAATAAAAATGTTTATATTTTTTACGTTTTAAAAGTTTTTGAACATTTTGGCATACCTTAGAAAAAATGGATGTATGTGTGTGTGCATGTATGTGTGCGTGTGTGTGTGTGCGAATACAAATTTTCGTCGACGATTTCGGACACGGATCAACCGATTTGAATTATTAAAAAAAAATCGATTCGTACTGATAAGGAAATGTGCTGATTAGTTTTTAGGTATAAGCAGGCCTAGACGTTTCGATGATACGGGGCAAAAAAAGCCCAAAATGGTAATTCAGTTTTTGAGAGAACGAAGCATCCGATTTGAATAATTCAAACTAGTGGGGCGCATGGCATCGTGCGTTAAAGCAAATTTCTGGAACTTTCCGTATCGTAATTAAACATTCGAAGAATGAAAATAATCAATAATTGTTTTAAATGATTTAAAATAGATTATTTATTATAAAGACATACTGTAAATTAATAAGTGCTCATTAAATTGGGCGACGAGGGTACTCTAAAAACAACTTATGTGTATGTTTACAAGAAGTTTCTTCAATTTTTTGATAATCGTGCGTTAAAGCAAATTTCTGGAACTTTCCGTATCGTAATTAAACATTCGAAGAATGAAAATAATCAATAATTGTTTTAAATGATTTAAAATAGATTATTTATTATAAAAACATACTGTAAATTTATAAGTGCTCATTAAATTGGGCGACGAGGGTACTCTAAAAACAACTTATGTGTATGTTTACAAGAAATTTCTTCAATTTTTTGATAATTTTGAAATTAAAAAAAAACGATTTTTTTAAATTTTTTGAATATGTCCGATTTTTTTTTGAAAATTTCGAAATATTCTCAAATTTTTGTAAAAATCGTTTTTTTTTAAATTTCGATATTTTTCAAATTTTTCGAAATTTAGATTTTTTTTCAAAATGATCAAAATTTCAAAAATTTGTGTTTTTTGTAAATTTTATTTTTTTTGAAAATTTTGAATTTTTTTTTGAAAATTTTCAAAACTATGAAATTTTTTGTAAAACCATTTTTACATACCGTCTACACAAAGCAAAAGGTTTTTTGAATTAATCTAATCGGATGGTCCGTTCTCTCAAAAACTGCATGACCATTTTTACAACCTTTGCGCTCCATACCTCCGGAACGGCAAGGTGTACCTTTTGCAAAAACGCCTCGCGATCGAGTACCGAATAACTGTTGAAAATGACGAGGGCATTTGTTTGAACCATATAAATAAACTTCAAAATTAAAAATCTTGAAACAAAACCCAAAAAAGTAGACACAAAATGTGTACACATTATTAAAATATCTATGAAATATGCGATAATTTGATGTGAATATGTCTAATGAACATTTTTGACCGCTGGACCTACCTTTCTAAAAATTCTGACAGTTCTTTGTTTACTCAATACAAATGAAATGTTTTTTGAATTATTCAAATCGGGCGCTCCATTCTCTCAAAAATTGAATTACAATTTTTGTTTTTTTTTGCCCCGTATCTCCGAAACGGCTATATTTGCCTATACCAAAAACTAATCAGCACGTCTACTTATCAATACAAATTGAATGTTTTTTTAAATAATTCAAATCGGTTATTCCATGCTGTCGAAAATGTCGAGGACATTTGTTTGAATCATATACGTGAAATTTAAAATTAAAAATCTTGGTACGGAGCCCAAAAAAAAAATTTACAAAATGTATACATATTATTAAAATCTCTATAAAATATCTGATAATTTGATGTACATTTGTCCAATGAACATTTTTGACAGCCAAATGGCATTTTTAACTTCCCGTAGGGTAAGTTATTGTAATTCGATCGCAAGACAGGTTATGCAAAAGACACGTTTCAAAGGTATAAAGAAGCCATTGAAACGTGTTCGCGCTCCATTCGGAGGAATGGAGCTCGTCGCCCAATTTAAAAACACTTATAAATTTACAGTATGTATTTTTATTAAATAATCTACTTGAAATTATTTAAAACAATTACTTGTTATTTCATTCCTAGAATATTTAATTCCGGTACGGCAAGTTCCAGCAATTCGCCATAAGGCACGATGCCTTATAATTGCATAGTTACTTTACTTCCCGTAAGGTAGTTATAGTAATGTGCCGAAAATCGAAAATAATTTTTTTTGCATATCTTCACAATTTGAAGGTTTCTGAACATTTTGGCATGCCTCAGAAAAAATGGATGTGTGTGTGCGTGATTTGTATGTACGCAATTTTTGTTTTACGTTTTCGGGCGCACGGATCAACCAATTTGAATAGTTCAAAAAACATTCGATTCCTATTGATAGGGAGATGTGCTGATTAGTTTTTGGCAAATGCAGGTTCGACCGTTTCAAAGATACGGAGCTAAGTGTACAAAAAATGGCAGTTTTTGAGAGAACTAAGCATCCGATTTGAATAATTCAAAAAATTCTCCGCTTGTGTTGACAAAATAATTGCGTTTGGAAAAAAAAAAATTTTTTACAATTTTTTTTTGTATATCGAAAATAATTCAGATTTTAATTTTTATTCTTGCTAAAGTTCTAAAGCTCACTTATAAACTTCAAATGAATAATTTTAACTCCGCAATTCAGTTTCAATAGTTCTTATAAATATTAGACAATATTACAGTATTTATTTATAATAATACATTTGAAAACATTTAATATTACTCGAACATTTCTTCACGATACGGGAAGTACCAGCAATTTGCCTTAAGGCACGATGCCATACACCACTAGTTACTTTTTTATTGAGAGTCCATAACCGCTAAACCTGTCTTTCACAGTTCTTCGTTTAGTCAATATAAGTAAAATATTTTTGAATTATTCAAATCGAACGCTTCGTTCTCTCAAAAACTGAATTACATATTCTTGTTATTTTTTATATCTTTGAAACGGCCCATGTCAAAAACTAATCAATACAAATCGAATGTTTTGAAAATATTCAAATGGGTTGATACGTGTTCCCAAAATTGTGGACGAAAATTTGTATCCGCACACACACACACGCACTCACATAAACACACCTAAACACACGCACGTACATTTATTTTTTCTAACTCTAACTTACCATACGGGGTAAGTTAAAAATATAAAATATTAAAAGGAGAAAATTATATACATACTAAATCAGGATAAACACAAACACATAAAATTTATTGAAAACACTAACATTTTGTTGAAGAACAACATAACTAATAGGTAATTAATAGAAAGGAAAAATTAGAAGAGCATACAATGCCCTAATATGAAGCATTAACGATGTTGAGAATTAAATAAATCTACTCAAGGCTATGCAGCACGTGCAACAAAACGGGTAAACGCGGGGTATGAGAAACAAAGGAGAAACGAGGAAGCAGACACAAAAGAAAGATAACTAACACTGTAAAAAATTATTTTTTATGAAATTTATAATGACTTTATAACTGTCATTTAAAAGATGAAAAAAAAAATCCGTTTGTTGACATAAGAAATATTAAAGATTTTTTAACAACAATATTTGAAAGTATAGGGATATAGATGAATAAACAGCCATTATCCTAAATCTTACAACATTGCTATCGAGAGATAAACGGCTATGTTTGAAAATCTATAAAACAGTTTTTTTTTGTTGTTAGTTTTTTCAGTTGTGAGCACTATTGCTTAGTTTACGAAACCTTAATGTAATTTTAGTACATGTTATTTAATTGTTTTATAATGAAGACGAATGTGTACACGCTTAAAAATTATAAAAGCTTTAATAATCTCAATGATAAAATATTAAATGTAATAATATAATTCCTCCAAATATAATAACTTCAAAACCGATAGACCTACCTTCCCAAAAATTCAACCAAAAATCCATAATATCAATAAAAGTGATATGGTTTTTGAATCATTCAAATCGAACGCTCCGTTCTCTCAAAATTGCCCTGTATCTCTAAAACGACTGGACCTTCCGTGGCCAAAAACTAATCAGCAAATATCCGTATCAATACGAATCAAATGTTTTTTGAAACATTCAAATCGGATGATCCGTGCTCTCGAAATCGTCGACAAAAATGTATCCAAACATATACACCTACATACTACATACACACACAAACACATATATATTTATATATACATTTTTTCTAAAGTATGCCAAATGTTCAAAAGGTAAAAATATGCAAAAAAAAATATTTTCGATTTTTTTGCGATTATTATAACTTACCCTACGAGAAGTTAAAAATTCTAAATCGATTGTAACCATTTAAAAGCAGTTAAAATAATAACATTTGGAAATTGTACTTTTCTTTAATATTGCCATGGGCGTTGAATAAATAAACAAGTAAATAAAAAAAATAATTTAATAATCATGATGAAACTTCTTTATACATTGTCATAATTTTATCGTCATGAATCTGAATTCTCATATATTGAGGTCGACTATTTACACATATCATTTAAGTTCATGCAACATAACATGAGGCAAAATGTCAATTACAACTAGTTTATTCAAATCTCTACTACACAGGTAATAAACATCTATTAATGTAATGTAAATTATAGTCAAGATTCAAACCTACACAGGAAAATTATCTGCATGTAACAAATTTATCTATATAAATAAATGATAATAAGGATTCGATATTATTTTTTAAAGGTATGTTTTGAGCGCGGATGGCGTGTTTACGTAGGCAATGTTCCTTTGAGTCACGTAAGCGTTCGCCATCCATACGGAAGCGCCGATCGCCATAAGGACATGCCACATGCATTAACCGCCACCAATTTGGCTCCGAGCTACACCGCGCCCGATGGAAAAGAATACAGGGCCGGGGATGTCGATCACTGGAACCTTTGGTGGAGATTGGGCGCACCAAATTCAGCTTATAATAGACAACTAAAACCCTGGCAAGTGAGTAAGCTTGTTCAAAAGTAAGCCAGTTTTAAGTTATTATTAGTCTATTTATTCCTTTATTCATTAAAACACACCACATGTAACAGAATATGCTGAACAATATAATAGCAATCAATGTGCATTTATAGTTTTTATATAGCATTGGTAATATGATGACATTTTATTTATAACTAGTTATACATAGCATGGTGCCAAGTGCTTATTAATTTGGGCGACGGGCGTATTCTACAAACAAAGAATGTGTATGTTTACAAGAATTTGTCCAATTTTTTTTTGATAATTTTGAAATTTTTGTGAAAAATCGATTTTTTTAAATTGTTTGAGAATGTGGAATTTTTTGAAAATAATCGATATTTTTTGAAAATGTCGAAATGTTCTCTAATTTTTGTAAGAAATTGATTTTATTTTAAATTTTTCGAAATTTAGATCTTTCTTGAAAATGATAAAAAATTTCGAAACTTTATTTTTTTTTAAATTTTGATTTATTTTGAAAATTGTCAGGATTACAAAATTCTTTGTAAAAGCATTTGTTGCACACTGTCTACACAAGCAAAAAATTTTTGAATTAATCTAATCGGCTGATCCGTTCTCTCAAAAACTGCATGACCATTTTTACACAATTTGCGCTTCACTCCTGCGAAATAGCTTCATACCTTCGAAACGTGCCTTTCAATCGAGTAGGAACCGAATGTTTTTTCAATCATACAAATCAGTTATTCCACACTGTCGAAAATGTCGAGGACATTGGTTTGTACCATATAAATAAACTTCAAAACTAAAAATCTTGGTACGGAACCAAAAAAAAAAAATTAAACAAAATATGTACACATTATTAATATCTCTATAAAATATCTGATAATTTGATGTGCATATGTCTAATGAATACTTTTGACCGCCAAATGTCATTTTTCTACCTTTTTTTTACTTTTTTAACAAGTCTTTAACCGCTAGACTTGCCTTTCCAAAGATTGAAACAATTTTTCGTTTATTTATTCATTTATTTATTTATTTTAAATATATAGCCCACATATTTCTTCTAAGAGAACTCAAAAATACAATTATTTTACATAAATATAATGAACTAGCAAACCCGACGAACTCCGTTTCGCCACCAGATGGATTTTATTATACAACAGTAACGAATTTATTTCGATTACAAAAATCGAAGTGTTTTTTAGTTGAACTTCTCTAAGTAAATGAAAGTGAATCCGCAAATTAATCGTTTCATTGATGTGCTCTTTGGCAAACCACATTTTTTTGTTTTTTGGTCTGACGTTAACACAAACAAAGCGGATTTCCAACTCGTGAACAGGCAACGTATAACTGCCCATGTGAAAAACAATGATTTTCTAAATAATCTATTTGAAATTTATCCCGCAAACACTAAGCGATGGCCTTGCGACTTGTTATTGCAAACGCAAGGCGAACTGGAAATTGCAATCGTTCGAAGTCAAACGGAAGACCAGTCGGAATCATTGGTACCAAATCGCCAGCAATTTTTGATTAAATGGTGAAATTCAGTGTGTATATATCATTATTCTTTGCGGCAAGAATTGCTAGTAGACTTAACCAAGCAAAATTCTGATAATTCTCACTAATGCCATTACTTGAATTTTTAATTACGGTGCGTGAATTTCTAGCAGCTTGCATTAAGGCACGATGCCATGCACAACTAATTTTCTCAGCTATAAACCTTGCGGAGCCCGAGACCTTTCCAACGAATGCAAAATTGTCGAAATCGGTTTGTGCGTTCTGGAGTTATTTCGTCAGGAAGGAAAACCCGACTTATTTTTATAATAATAATAATAATAATAAATAAATATATTTCAGTAGATATATATGTGTACATAGCATTTCTCATTTTGGATTTTTACCCGTAGGTATTTCATCCTTCATATTTGTTCTATCAATACTTATTTTTATATACGAGGTGTGTTCAAAAAGTACCCGGAATTACTAATAATTAAATTTCGCGGGTCTGGAGTGTCTGATTGTCAAAAATTTTTTTTTATTGTGTTGGTATACATGCCCCTAAAGTATGATGAAATTTTCATCTATATTCACTGTTTACTTTGTCTGTGGTAGTCGCTAAGGTTCGACGTGTTTTTCTGAGCTCGGCGATTTTTACAATGGAAGAATTGAAAAGTCAAAGAATTTGTATTAAATTTTGCGTAAAAAATGAAATAAAGTGTTGCAAAGTGCAAAAATTCACCAGATATGGCTCCGTGTGACTTTTTCCTATTCCCAAAGTTGAAGAGACCCATGAAAAGACGGCGGTTTTCCTCGATTGAAGAAAATCGCTGAGAGTGCTCAAGGACATATCAAAAAGTGAATATCAAGGGTGCTTCGAAAATTGGAAAAAACGCTGGCATAAGTGTATTATATCTCGGGGGGACTACTTTGAAGGGGACCACATTAATGTAGACGAATAAATAAATATTTTTTTGAAAAAGCGATAATTCCGGGTACTTTTTGAACAGACCTCGTATATAGAAGATATAGAAGATAATCTATTTGCAATTATTTAAAACAATTATTGATTATTTTTATTACTCAAATTTTTAATTACGGTGCGTGAAGTTCCAGCAATTTGCATTAGGGCACGATGCCATGCACCACTAATTTTCTTAGCTATAAACCTTGCGGAGCCCGAAGCCTTCCAACGAATGCAAAATTGTCCAAATCGGTTCGTGCGTTCTGAAGTTATTTCGTCAGGAAAGAAAACCCGACTTATTTTTATATATATAGAAGATAACAATTAAAATATATACAGAATTACAATATATAGTTATTAACATAAAATGCTTAACATAAAATTACATATAATGCAGAATGTAACAATATTATTTATAATCAGAATCAGATAAAATGAGATATTTGAAAAGCAAATAAAAAGGTTAACTTGTGCAGATGGAGATTATTTGATTAGGTGAATTGTTGTGAATATCTATTTCGTTATTAATTAAGTTAAAGTTAGAGGACCTAAGTAAAATAGGCGAATTTAAGAGAGAATTAGATTTAGGAGTAGGATAATTGAAAAATAATTGTGAACGCGTAGATAGCCTTGGAATAATTAAAGGATAGTTGATTAAGAATAAGAGGACAGTCTATAGAATTATTATTAAGTTTAAATAAGAACATAATTGTACAGATAAAGCGACGTGAGGCAAGGGAAAGAATACCAAATTCTTTTAGTAAAGTGTTGTAGTCAAAGCCACGTTCAGGGTAAATTTTATATGTTTTATAATAAAGATATGTATTTCAGAAATTTTCGCTGAACCTTCTCTATCGCATCAGAGTTGATGATTTGATGAGGATACCAAATAATCGAACCAAATTCTAATTTTGAGAATAGTAAATGCAAAGAAGTACATCAAACCCAAATATTTATGTGCTCTATTACAAATATCAGTTAATGATCCGTGAAAAACAAACCAGAATCAAATAAAACTCCTAAATCTGAATTTTTATTACATCTATCAATGCTGGTGTTAGAAATTTTATAATCAAAATATATTGGAACGCGCTTATGTGAAAAACTAAGAATCTTGCACTTTGATATATTCAAATGTAATTTGTTATAGACGCACAAAGAGTGGAAAGAGTCAAGTTGAGACTGTAATAATAAGCAGGCATCAATAGAATTTATTTTGAGATATAGTTATCATCTGCAAATAATAAATGTGAACAGCTAATAATATCAGATATGTCATTAATAAAAATAATAAATAGTAGTGGGCCAAGAATGGATCCCTGAGGAACACCTGAACTGATATTTACAATATTGCTCAAGAATCGATTAAGACAGACAAACTGTTTACGATTATGTAGATAACTCTTAAAAAAATAAATAAGTGAAGAATTAAGACCAATCCTAGATAATTTAGTAAGAAAAATGTTATGATCAATTTTGTCAAAAGCTTTACTGAAGTCAGTGTAAATAACATCAACTTGTCCATTAGTGTCAATATTTTCAGCTATATATTGTTTAATACAGACCAAATTTGTTATCGTACAACGGGCAGACATGAATCCATATTGATTAGTAGAAATTAAAGTTCTAACAGAAGGAATTAGTTTTCTATAAATATTTTTTTCAAATACCTTAGCAAAGTTTGATAATAATGATATCGGCCTGTAATTAGTAATGTTTGATGTATCACCTTGTTTAAAAGTTGGAACTAATCGTGCAATTTTCCAACAATTTGGAAAAGTATTTGTACGCAATGATAGACTAAATAAAAATGCAAGTGGATCAGATAGAGCAGATAAGCAATCACGTGTGAAGAAAGATGGAATACCATAGAAACCAAATATTTTGGAGTTCTTAAAACTTGCTATTGCAAGTTGCACAGTACTAGAATCAATTACACCTATATCAATCATGATTCTATCATTATGATCAAATAAAATGGGTAAGTCAAGTTTAGGCTGATAAACACTAATAAAGTAAGAATTAAATGCATCAACAATAGCATCAGGAGAATCATAATATTTGTCTAGATAGCACAATCTATTAGGAATAATATTAGAAGCAGTCTTATTGCGTAAAAAAGACCAGAAATATTTTAGATTAAGCGATAGAGAATTTTCAACGTCAATAATATATGAATTATATGCATCTTTCATAAGTGTTTTTATTAATTTCCTGTACAATTTAAAATTTTCATAATAGAAAGTGATACTGGTTAACGTTTCTTCATACGGAGGTTTCTAATAATATCTGAATTAATCCAAGGCTTAAATTTATTGGAAGCAATATTATTTGTTTTAGGAACAAATTTATCTAATAAGCTATAAATTTAGGCGTAAAAAAGATCACATGCATCATTAATGTCAAAACATGTATACAAAGAGCTAAAAGATGTATTTAAAATTTCCCTGTAAAGATTAGAATAATCCGCTTTGTGGAAATTGTAATGATAGTTATTTTTATTAAATTGCAAAGTATTGGGTGTGGAAAAAGAAGATGTAAGGGAAACAGAAATGTAAAGAGC